CGTCAATCAGGGGCAGTTACGTCGAGATTCGGCGAATCTCTCCAAGAGTTTGAAAACATTGGGGGATTTGGACGCCATGTTTTCTGTAAAATCCTATCAAGATGACTTTGTGACTTAGGGCATCTGAAAAATCAAAAGTGGTTGTGACAATTCTGTAACGAATATTCTCAATACAAGAAAACTCCAGTTGGTGACCTGAGAACACCCATTGGGCTAACTAGCTTCACCTCTCGAGCAAAGCGGACGTTTATTTCATCCCCGATCGAAGTTTCGACTCCAACATATTCAACAGCTTTGTTAACCCAGGTTTCCCCCTTTGAAGTGGATATTTATCCCCTGTGGAACTCCAGTTCTGGCGTTTCCGTCTACAACCCCAGCAAGAATCTCTCCAGGGAAGTGGATATTTATTTTATCCACGAAGTTTCCCCAATTAAGGGATGGATCCGTTTCCAGCAGAATATTTTCTATTCCCCAGATGAGAAGTTTTAAAGCCCCGAAGCAGGAATGTGATCCCATATATGGTCCTCCACCTATCCCCAGTGATGCTTCTATCTTTGAAGATTGGTCCGATATTTGCTCCCCATAGGGAATTCTAGAGCGAGTGTACATTCTTCAAGCAATGTTTGATCTATGAAGATTTGGTTTGAGTTCCCGGAATGTTTTTCATCTCTTTTGTTAGCATACACATATCATATATATAGATAGCATATCATATGCATTTTTGCATCTTTGTGTTTGCCTGTTCTGTCGCTTTGGCCGTGTTTATCGCCAAGTGACTGGGTGTGTCTTCTCCTTCAAGTAAAGTTGTCAGCCCTAGGCAGAAAAAGCACAATATTTCTATTTCCCCACGAAGTTCGATCCTCGTGGAAGACAATTATTTTAGTTAAATACCATTTGAGCTCATGCCTCAATGGCCGGGTCCTGCTTGACAGTTTCTCTTCAGTTATTTCCTGAACTGAACTTCAGTCCTTGACAATCGCATTGGTGGACATCTCCGACTTTTGAATGTGGATTAAGTGTGCATTTATTTCGCACTTAACTCCCCAGGAATGGTTTTATGAAGATAGCTATTGAAGACGGATATTTCTCCAACAGCGTTATAAGAAGCTTTTCAACAATTTATATTTGGACTACAACATCCTCTTTATTTGAGCAACTCGTTTTGATCAGGATCTTCTTCGAAACGACAAATGGCAGTCTCTTCAAGACAGCTTGGCCATCCCCATTGGATTTATTAATATTATCAATTCATCGAAAGGCATTCCTCTAGAAATCTGTCAGAGAAATGCATCAAAGACATTACGAATATTTCTCTTTATTTGAGAACTTACAAGGATACATGTTTTACAACTACAACAAGATACTCATCAGGAATGTATTTCCCAGCGAGTCTATCACACAAGCTTTAACTCCATCAAAGGGCATCTCTTCCGAGAAGTTCGATGAAGTTTATTACAATTAGTCTCTCTTTATTTAAGAAGACATATTTTGCTAATCAATTGGCTTACATCTTTTGAAGATCCTCGTTGAAGCTTTACAATCTCTAGTACATTTTGATTTTTTGGCTTAGGCTACCATATGTTTGGTAGTAGGTGATCTCTCCTCCTTTTGGTTATTACCTTTTCTTAGTCTATCATATGTTTGATAGTAGGTAATATACCATCTCTTTTTGGTCAGATACCTTTTCTTAGGCTGCCATATGTTTGGTAGTAGGTCATCTTTCCTCTTGTGTTCACCTTTTCTTAGACTATCATATGTTTGATAGTAGGTAACACACTTCGTTTTGGTCAGACACCTTTTCTTAGGCTGCCATATGTTTGGTAGTAGGTGATCTCTCCTTTTGGTTATTACCTTTTCTTAGGCTATCATACGTTTGATAGTAGGTAATATATCATCCTTTTTTGTCAGATACCTTTTCTTAGGCTGCCATACATTTGGTAGTAGGTGATCTCTCCTTCTTTAAGTTTATTGCCTTCTTTTAGGCTATCATATGTTTGATAGTAGGTAATATTCCTTTCTTTTGGTGTGTTCACCTTTTCTTAGGCTATCATATGTTTGATAGTAGGTAACACATTTTGTTATGGTCAGACGCCTTTTCTTAGGCTGCCATATGTTTGGTAGTAGGTGATCTCCTCCTTTTGGTTATTACCTTTTCTTAGGCTATCATATGTTTGATAGTAGGTAATATACCATCTCTTTTTGGTCAGATACCTTTTCTTAGGCTGCCATATGTTTGGTAGTAGGTCATCTTTCCTCTTGTGTTCACCTTTTCTTAGGCTATCATATGTTTGATAGTAGGTAACACACTTCGTTTTGGTCAGACGCCTTTTCTTAGGCTGCCATATGTTTGGTAGTAGGTGATCTCTCCTTTTGGTTATTACCTTTTCTTAGGCTATCATACGTTTGATAGTAGGTAATATATCATCCTTTTTGGTCAGATACCTTTTCTTAGGCTGCCATACATTTGGTAGTAGGTGATCTCTCCTTCTTTAATTTTATTACCTTCTTTTAGGCTATCATATGTTTGATAGTAGGTAATATTCCTTTCTTTTGGTGTGTTCACCTTTTCTTAGGCTATCATATGTTTGATAGTAGGTAACACATCTTGTTATGGTCAGACGCCTTTTCTTAGGCTGCCATATGTTTGGTAGTAGGTGATCTTCCCTTTTGTTTATTACCTTTTCTTAGGCTATGCACTTTGTTTTGGCCATTACCTTGCCTTAGGCTATCATACGTTTGATAGTAGGTCATTTTTTCCTTTGTGTTGCCTGTGCATAGGCTATCATATGTTTGATAGTATGTAACATGTGTTTCTTTGTTTCAACCGGATACCTTTGTTTAGGCTGCCACACATTGATAGTGGACTACCCTTCACTTTCAAGATCTCGTTTCACTGTCCGAGTTACTGTATTCCCGGTAGTATTACTATATCTTATTTTTATTTTGGAGAATCCACAATACTGATCGTTGTCTCTTCTCGTGGCGTCTCGCGTCGTTGAGTCTGTTCTTTGGGTGTCGTGTCCAGTTATTCCCCTGAGGCATCATTTCCCTACAGGAGCTTTGTTTCGCATCCTCATATTGTTGCATATCATTTGCATGCGGTGGCCTCTTAGGGCCAAAAATTTGTGCAATGTTCGTATTTAAGTCCCTCCTATCTCGTCGAGACGAAGATTTCAATCTCCATATCTCCGGATAGAAGTAACTTAAATAGGGGCATTTGTCGCACCCTAATTTTTGACCGTAAGATGCCACCTCTTTTTGCGCATTTTTCTTTTGTTATTTGACTTTATTTTAATATTTATGTTTTTGCGACTAACCAACTTTTACAGATGCAGAAATTTCGGGTAGAGTTGATATTTGTTCCCGTAGTCGAGCATTTTAAGGCATGACCAAGTGATCCTGACTTAAGGTTGTCTTAAGGTCTCTGCTTGGTATGGGCTCCGATTCTAGGTTTTTATCATTATATTTATTATTATTTTTTATTTATTATATTTTATATTTATTGTTATTATTATTATTATTATTACTAATATTATATTTATTATTATGTTATTTATTTTATTATTAACATTACTTTCACTCTTGAGCTATTATTGGATCAATACACCGAAGATATCTTTGGATGCACTTTTTGACTATATCTCGTTAAACTCCAGATTAGAATTTAGTATCTTATAAATCAAGGTTGTTAGTCGTTTCTCTATCAGAATCATCAATTGAAAGTGAAGAAGGATTTGGATTTGATGGGAATTGCAAGTCAGTCATGGTACGAAAGAAAATGGTTATGAGTTCATTAAGATTTAAGGTGGCGAGATTTGGTTTACGAAGTTCCATATGGCATCCAGACTGAGGTTCATAAGGTTTTAGTTAATTTATTCAAGTGGTTTGAATTGGAATTAGTGAGCAAGCAGAAGTGAGAAGGTCCATTCTTAGAAGGCTTTGATGAGGTTCATTCCCAAGAGTTTCAAATTTATGCCCTCATGAAGTTTCAGGATGGAATTTAGTTTAAAGTCGATTTCATGGTTAAGGGTCTCATACTATGGTCCAAGCCTCCTAGCACAGGCTTTGAATTAATTTTAATAATGGCAATATCTATGTGACATACTTCATTTCCATTTTGCAACTGAACTCCAATCACGGATGGACCCCGATCAAGGAAGTCATCTTTGGACTTATTTTTGTGAAACAGTCACTTAGTACAAGAGTTTGTGTTCTCTTTTTTGAAGCATTGTCATAATACATTACAAGGCAAACACAAATACGTATTACAATCTCCCTACATTCTAGCTTCTAAGGCGTGGCTTCTAAGACCGAAGAAGAGTTGCCGGTTATCGTAATATTGAAGTGCAAGCATGCCTTTCTTCTTATCAGAGGCTTTAATTGTCGCGGTAACGGCATTGAAACCAAAGAATTCTTTCCGAGAGCAGCTACAACCTGACGTCAAGAACGAGACAACATAGTGAGTTTCTCAACGACAACACAAAAGATCAAACTTCATAACTTAAAGAGTGGCTCAAATAAATGCACAACGTGCCAAAATCCACATTACAATTAGTCGCAACAATATCATTCAAGGCTTATGAGCTATGAGTCACCAGATAGAGACAATGTAAAATCCTAAAAAATATAAAGCCTATGCAATGTGTCGAAGTTGTTTAAGGGTCTGACCATTGCAATCAAGACTTCACCACCAACAAAAGTTGCCATGCTATCAAAACTCATCTAAAGAAAATCAGAAATGAATCCGGCATAGGGCGTGCGCCACTTCTGCTCTCATGAAGGCATGTCGTTATCGAGCGGTAACAGTTCTGCACTGAAGCCATTGAAGCTGCAATTTGAGAAAATAATTTAGAGTGAATTAACCAGAATGAGTCATGTTCAGACAGGTTTGAGCGAAAAGACTCTTTTAAGGACTTACCGGCACGACAACATTTATCATAAGCCACGCACCTCAACGTTCTTCCCATTCATTTTGCATCTCTTGTTCAACCGCGTCTGACATGGATACTTCCTCTAGTCAAGGCATTCTTTATTCGTTGCACCGTTGTAAAACTCTTCACCTGGTTAGGCATGCCCAAGGGTTTCACAATGTTAAAGGAGACAAGGACCCTAAGGCTTACTTATCTTATGCTCTTTTTGATGCAAGCCTGACCCCTGTCGGATGGAAACAGGTTGATAATCTGAGAGAGCATGTTAAGGGAAGCGGTCTTTCCGAAAGAATTGAACTAGTTATTGTTTCCCCTTGTTAAGGACCATGCAAACAGCAGTGGAGCTTTGCCGAGAGCACTTGGGGGTGCATCCTTGTGACAAGAGAAGAAACATCACTGAGTACAAGAATATGTTTCCAGCAATTGACTTTTCACTGGTAGAGTCTGATGACGACATTTTGTGGAAACCTGATATTAGAGAGAAGAATGAAGAAGTTGCTTCCAGGGGACTGATTTTTTTAGAATGGTTGTGGACACGTAAAGAAAAAGAGATTGTTGTTATTACTCACAGTGGTTTTCTTTTTCATACTCTAAGTGATTTTGGAAATGATTGCCATCCAAATGTGAAGAGTGAAATCTGTACACACTTTGCTAATTGTGAGCTGCGTTCAGTGGTTATCATCGATAGAGGGATGATCGGATCAAATCAGTCCTCTACCAACTATCCTGGCAAGATTTCAGATGGCCTTGACCTTCCCAGTGATGTTGCTGACGAGAAACATTCGGCGAATGAACCAACAAAGCATTGCAACTCGAGGTGAAACCCCAGGGAAATTGAATAAGCTTCTTCCAGCTTCTGCTCCAACTGATGAAGTGTTACTACCATCGGTTTCTAGAAAGCAAGGCTACGATTTTGTTCCTGACATTTAAGATATTTCACATTAGACTTGTTGGTACAGATTAAGCAATTCATGAGTATCTTAGACCAAGAAAGGAAAACATTCAAAGAAGTTAATTTGAATCCAAGACATTCCAAACAGGGGAGAACATGTGTATCTAAGAATGGAAGATAATTTACCACTTTGTCTACAACATCACACATATCAGACGAAATTGGGAACTTTTTTAACAGAGATATAAACGTTAAAATTACCTTCTAAAACAGCCCAGACATGTTCAGCGAAAATAGGGAGACTTTACCGTCAAGATCATTCATTCCAAAACTAGTTGCGATATACCATTAATGCCGTATCAATTCTCAGGTCCTCAGAGCACCTATAAAAGAATAAGAAATTGGGATGAGAAGGGACATCAGTTCGCAAACAAATTTCACAAAGTCCCCAATCACAGAACCCTAACAAAAGCAGAAGAAATCCATTCAAAATCACAATCCCAAATCAAATCGTAAAAGAGAACTTGCCTTCTTAAGGCCTCGCCGGAAACCGCCTTTCCGTCCACCGTGAACCACGAATCTCTACAACCCACGAGCTTCCTTCAAAATCCTCCATCGCCGGAATCCCTTCCACCGCGAACCGCCGTCGAACTTCTGGAAAGCCCTTCCGTTATCGCCACCCACCACCCTCAAAAGCCCCTGCGAAAACCCCAAAATAAACGTGAGCTATCTGTGACTAACATTGATAATTTGTTTTTTTTTCATTTGTTTCATGCAGGAGAATCGCGGCGAAGTCGAAGAAGAAGGAATGACGGAGAAATAGAAGAAGAAGAAAGTAGAAAATCATAGAGGAAGTCGAAGAATGGAGAGGGAAGAGAGAGCCGAGCGGCGAAGAAGAAAGGGAAAAAGGGGATTAGGGTTTCTACATTTTGTTTTTTATGTTGTATAATCACGTATATGCACCCACACACGACTACCATGCACCAGCATAATCACAGCCACCTGATCCCCATTACGCGACCCGCAACGCATCCCCACGATGCACCCTCACCCAGCGCGTCGCACGTAATCATGCGCCATTCAATTACCCCTTTAATCTGACTTAATTTAACCTAATCATCACCTTTTTTTATTAATATTTTTCTCTAATCAGTTTTTAAAGTAAACTAATAACCTAATTAACCTTTTTTTAAAACTTAATATATTTCTCTTTAAGTAACTATTAGTGTATTTATTTAATTAATCTTTTTCTAAACAATTTTTTAATTAATCAACCTTTTATAATTCTTTTTTAATAATTAGTCAACAAAACCTTTTATAATATAATAACTTATTTCATTTAAGTAATATAATCTTTTAGTAAAAATCATCGTAATAACATAACTTTTAACCAAAACCAACTTGTTTAATAAATATTCTACTTATTTTAATTAATCAACCATTTAATTAGATCTTCCCTAGTCATCCTTTTATAACTAAATAAATTTCTTTTCTAAATAAAGAATAATAAACACATTTTCTATAAATTATACCCATTTTATACTTAAAAATAATAATAACGTTTATATAATAGTAACAAAACTTTTATAAAGGGAGCTTTTATTTATAATTTATTTCTAAGCAAAATTCAACTAATCTATGACTTGGTAATTTATATCACCCTTTAAATAATAAAACTATTTAACCAATCGTGTACGCTCCCGCATCCGCTTCGATTCCACTCACACACGCACAATTCACTCACTTACACCTAGCACTTTCATGCGTGTGTATGTTTACATCATCTGCTGTTATTCCTTTCCGTATTTATTTTATCGCATCGCATTCCGTCCAAAGGAAGAACCTACACATTACTTAACACTTGTGTGTATTGCATTCCATTTGCATCATATTCCCCACTTGATCCTTGATCCCATTCAAGTCGATCTTTTAAGATAGATCCTACCCCATAAGGAGGACCTTTGTCTTTATTTTACAACATTGGAAAACAAAACAATTCAAACAACATATTCAAACACATTAGAGAATAAGATGTTAATCATCTTAAGCGAGATAAAACTCTTACCCCATAACAATTCAATCAATCAAATCGTAGTGACTTTGCCTTAAGAGAATAGAGGCGTACTTGTCGATTAAATTCCGAGTGCTTGAGCCCTTCTCTTAAGACGATGCAAAGACTATTTTCCTACAACGTTGTGGCGGTTAAATCAAAGTAATCTCCCTTAAAATGACAACTCATCTCTTCTCCTAAACTCAATCAATTAACTACCCTAAACCCGTAGGAACTTTGACCACAGTCAAAGAACTCCTCAAACCCTTTAGGGGAACTACAAATACTCTGATTCCACTCCCGTAAGGATATGTAGGCATAAGATGTGATATCTTATCGATTATACTTAGAAATAAACCCCTAGGTCTTTCATCCTTAAGCAGATAAACCTTAGCAATAAACAAACATAAAACAAGAGGTTCCTGTAGAGTACTACAGAAACTTAGGATGCTAGCACCTTCCCTAAGTTTAACCGACCCCCGAACCTATAACTCTCTAGCTTGCATTTGCATTGCATTGTGGGAATTTCGATCTTTATCCCTTCCTTTGGACAAATCAAAGTTCGGTTGCAAAATGAATTAAAGATTCAAACTAATCAATAGTTTGGTATCCAAATTTCACCGCAACAACGAGCATCGCACTAAATAAAAGCGCGTCATCAATATACTATCCTTGATCTTCCATTCTTGAAGAAACGAGCAAAGCACTACGTAAAGCGCGTCATCCATGTATTATCCTAGATCTTCCATTTCCGCATAAACGAGCAAAGCACTACGTAAAGCGCGTCATCCATGTACTGTAACACCCTGTTGCACCCCAAAATTTGCTCAACATTTCTTTACCTAGCTTATGTTTCATTTCATTCACATTAGCATTATCATTGCATTTCATTGACATGTATGCAGGAGATCAAGAGGTATGATTACCAATCAAGGGCTACACAAGACTATGAAGCTAGCCAAGAAGCTTATTCAAGTATTCAAGGGTTGATATCTTTGTCAGAGAAGTCAAAAGATCCTCAGAGAGAGTGGTTGAAACCAAGGTTGTGTGCCTCTTAACTTGAGAGTTGTGGGAGCTCCTCAGATGATTCTGAAGCCAGGAATGTGGACTTGAAGCCTTGAGAGAGCTTATGAGATGTCTTGAGACCCATCATGAAGCCTAGACAGGTCATTGTGCAAGATTAACAAGACCCAGCCATGAGTGGTGTAATTAGGGTTTGACTGGGTCAACCCTAGGTCAACTGATGATTTGGAGAGGGTTGAGACCTAATACAAGAGCCATGTGATCATGGATTGGCACATTGAGATGTTATAAGGATGATTCCAAGGTCAACTCATCATGATTGAAGAGTTTGAGAAGTTTCAAGCTAGGGTTTCTAAGGCTTGACAGTGTAAAATCCCCTAGTTTGACCCCTATCTTCAAGACAGTTTAGCCCAAGATGTGATTGTCATCTCATCTTGCCCCCAACATGAATGTTGTAGAGCTTGTTCTTAGATTTAATTTGATTACTATAAGTCCTTGATAGGATTTGTAGAGCTCAAGTTATGACTTTGACAAGTTACAGGTCATCTGAGATATGTGAATTTGGGGGCTTGAAAGTTACCCAACTTGCATCAAACTTTAGCCCAAGAAGGATAATTCATATGAACTTTTGGTCAACATTAATGTTGTTCCTTATCCTCTTAGATTTCTAAAGAGTACTAGAAGTCCTTGATAGGATTTGTAGAACTCAAGTTCTGGCTTTGACAAGTCAAGGGCATTTTGGTCATTTGGAGATTACAGGTCATTTCAACCATAAAGCCATAACTCCTATTTCCATGCTTCAAATGGAAAAATCTTAAACATCAAACTTGTTCAAAATGATGTTTTAAGGCTAGTAAGGAGGTCATGAGATTATGGAAATGCTTTTAGCTCAAAGTTGAAAAAATGACCTAAAATAAGGGCATAAGTTAAATAAACCAAAGTTGGAAATTGAAATTTTCAATCTACACATCCAAACCATGGCATGTAATATATCATTTTGACTCTAGAAAACATTTTAAGAACATTTATTTAGCCACATTTTTGAGTTGAGATTCAATTTGTGGACTTGCTTTGAAAAGTGATTACTTGCATATTAAGTAACTTATGCAAAGCATAGAATCAAGGCATGAGCAAGGAACTTTGCAAGCTAAACACTCTCAAAATGTCACTAGGGGAGAAATTGAAAGTGAATGAGGTTGGTTTCAAGCTACAAACAGAATTGTGCATATCATGATACATGGTTGAAAATCTCATGACATGAGAAGTGGAAACTCTCATTAGAAGGATCTAGAGGGTTCTAGATCACTCATACATCATCTATATATTGAATAGAGTTGATCCAATGCAAAGGTTGGT